GCCCCACCTACGGAAAATATTTTCGCGACGTGCAGCCCCCGTTTTCGCGTTTGAACCCCCCGATTTCATTGTTGTATCAAAGAAGAAGATGCAAACTATTGATTATTGATGCCTGCTTTGACAAAAACTAGATTTCGAGAAATTTTTACAATAAATTTATTCAACCCTTAGCCCCGGGTTGCCCCACCTGGCCCCGGCTACCTAGGTGGGGCCAGGTGGGGCTGGTGTTTACAGGGGTATTTTGATTAAAGTTGCTTAGTTTGGGTTGCTTAAGTTGCTATCTTTTCCCTTAAATTTTTTACACGCGCACATTTTGTGAAAAATAGATATAATCGTGTTATTTGGTGAATTATTTTGCTGTTATTTAAGTCTACTGTACACTAGCTAGTGTTGCGGTCTAGCCCTGTGACCAAAACTTTCCATAAAAAATGAATAAGCGTATCGAATTGTTACTTTCAAGATTTCGTTTTGCAGGTGAATAATTTTGCTTTCTCCTTCGTATTTATTGGATAGGACAACAGCCATTTCGATTTTACTGATTTACAGATACAGCACGCAGGTTGCCCATTTGATAATATAGAGCCATATGCATTTATAATCCAGCAAGCTTAAGAAGTTATGCATCAGTTGAAACAAGAATTTACCCCTTTGAATGACTGCAAGACTCCCTCACTCTCTTACTTATTTATTTCTCATAGCGAAGCCATCGGCTTTCTTTCCTCTTCTGGTCATTCTGTCTTCGTGGATGGCAACAGGTAACCAAACATACTGTATTAGCTTTCCATACAATTTAAAACATAAGTTTTGGTAGTCAGCTGCAATGAACCACATTTTGAGTTTCCGTTCTTGATTATAACTGCAGTGTAAACCTTATTAGCTGTTTGCGTTTATTAAAATCATTCAAAGAACTGTTTGGTGCACAGCTAAGTTGAGCAGCCTTTTGTATGCATGTTCCGTCACTTGCGTCTTGCCGAATACAGATTCAAGTCTCATGGAAGTCAGCTGGCACAGGTATTTATGTAGGTTTCTAGGCGAATGGCAATTTGTATATGCTCGTAGTGCTCAAATTAGAAATCTGAATACACTCTTGTCATGAAGTCAAATAACTCCAAATCATCTCAAAAATGTACCAGGATCGCAACATATATTTTCTGCCCATTCCCTAACTTGAAAAAGAAATGGCTCATATATCGAAAATTTCTTGTTCTCTTAGTGATACGGAAGCTTGGATCTTGATTAACTTGAGTGGCATCGCACGAATATGGATTTTTTTCGAAGAGCCAAATAAATAGGCATACTTATAAAGCAAACTAAAAGTTCCTTTTAGTAATAATTCTAGTCCATTTTAAGAAGTTTTCTTATTTTTTAACACGTTTCGGGGCACGAAATTGAGTTACAGATGTATGCTTTATTTACAAAAACGTCAGTAATTGACGGTCTTCGTGTATATCTTAAGCATCTCACATCATTTCATTTGTTCAGTGTAAGTCTTTTCTGTTAGAAAGCACGAGTCCAACTTTTGACTGTTTTTTTCAAGACAGGATTAGGTAGTTGCGTCCACCTGTCAAGATTTCCCTTAATAAGTAATCCAGACACTTTGAATAGTCAGGATGGGATTGTTATTTTATAGTTCTTAAACAGCAAGGTTGAATATGTGGTATACTATAGATCTCTGTTAAACCTAAACTTTGGCCGTAAATTATACAAACTTATGATTATGTATACATGCATATTTGATGTATACACTATCAGAAACTGTAAATTATAACAAATACTAGAAAACATCGTTCCCAACATCTTGAACTAATAATATCCTTTTATTAATTAGTTGAAAATAAAGATGCAGCTTTGTCATCGAGTGACCCAAACTTTTTCTTCAAACTCGAAGTATATATAAAAAAAGATGATTATGTATAGGAGAGCATTTTTGGGCGTTGCCCACGATCAAGTACACCGGTTGTATATAAGACGATTAGGTCCATTCCAGTAAATGAAAGTGACATCTTCGTCAGCGGTTTATATGGACTTTGTCCCGCTACCCCTAACGGATGTCCTGCTTGTTTCATTTCCCAATGCCAGTAATGTAAAAAATCCGGAACGAGAGGAGCATTTGTATGAATTAAAATGCTAACTGCATAGTCTTTCAAGTGCTCTTTATTACAGCTACGCAACATTTACAATTTTCACGTTATTATATACTTCAAGTAGTTCATGCACAGTTGCTCCAAGATTTAAAAATGGCAAATAATTGGATCCTAACACGAACTTAAAAGCAGATTTCGGTCTAACTTGAGGGCGAAATTCGTGTGTGCATGGACTTTTAACGGTACGAATATAAATGCACAAATTTGCTACAGCGCATATGTGCAGAATCTATCGAAGAAGCTGGCGTATCCCAGAAAGCTGTAACAGATAGCTAACCCTATCGCGTGTCATGCTGTCTTACATTTCTTCTTTTAGGAACCTTACACTACTCGAAGTTCCCTTGCAAGCCGTCCGCCTACTTCCGTCTTCTTAAACGCATCATATTTGCCTGCCTGTTGTGGAAACCAAACTAGGCTTTCTCCTCCTTCTCCTTCACCACACCTCTTCACCAATACCAAAAGGGGCAGTCACAATATGGATTTCAATGGCGGTGAACTATGCACTCTGGATATGCCCTATGGCATGCAACCAGCCGGATATCCTCGAGACCCCCATTTAGGGGAGTCGGGTCCGCCTGTCGGCAGCAGTGGTGAACAGCCTACGGGAGCAGTCTGCGATAAGTCATCTCTCAATCATCATCATCATCAGCATCAGCATACTATGTATAATTTTGACTGCACTCCCCAAGTGACCTCATTAAATGAGGGTTCGGCAGTTGCACCTGTGACTCAAACCAGCGAAGTATTTCAAATGACACTTGCACCTCCCATGGAGATACAAATCAATGAATCAATATCTCAGGCCTCTTCAGAGCTGGCTTTCCATACTACGGAGACTTCATACGGCCAAGTATATACACACGAAAATGTGGAGCCGATTGTCTCCACCAGCAAAGGCCAGACAGTTTGCATTTCAAACTCCGGACTTTCGGAGGCGGAGAAGGGGTTGTCGGCCATATCCCACTCAGAGACTTCCGTGTCTTGCCATTTGACAAATCCATCGACCATGGTGGAGATGCGCATGATTGATGCAATTAGAACCAGTACTTATGCTGCTGACAGGCCAGCAAATCCAGTCTACATTGAAGAGGCAGAAATGGTAAGTCTGAAAGTTTTCTGACCGCTAAAAAGAAAATCTAGTTAATTCTGAAGGGAGTAGGTGTGCTGGGACTCAAATTAATGGCAGTGCAGTTTTAACATATACTAAACAAACTTCAAATACTAACAACTATCGGGTAC